AGAGGATCATAATTCTTTTTCAAATTCCTTGAGAAGGGCATTTCAAATTATACTAAAATAAAAACATCGCAGGTGTCCAAGGTTTTTCAAATTCTTTAAAAAAAGGCCATTTTTTTCAAATTCTTTCTAAAAGATCAATAGATTCTTTTAAACTCAAACCACCAGGGGCCCGCAAAATTTGGTTCAAAATCAAAACATCGAGAGTTATTTTTTTAATTCGTTTAAATCTAAACAGCGAAGATTTCCGAGATTCTTTCAAAAAAACGCACCAAGAATCTCAATATTGACTTTTTTCGAGAGAAATAATAACAGTGGCTTTTAAATTCTTTCTAAAACACCCGGAGTTCCGAGATCCTTGTAAATTCCTAAAAAACCAGTAAGAACCTCAACATTTTTTAAATGCTTTCACAAAGATAAACAGGCATAAGGACCCGAAGGTGTTTTACAATTTTTTCAAGATTACAAAAAAAGGGATCCTTAAGATTCTTTTTAATTCTTAAAAAAAACCATACTGACCCCAAAATTTTTCAATATTTCTCAAAAATAAAACATCACGGAATCCGATTTTTTTTCCAGATTCCTTCAGGCTTCAGCCTTCCTGGGCTTTTCAACGGCTTTTTCAAATTCTTTCAAAATAAAAAAAATCGGAGGTCTGCAAGGTTTTTCAGATTCTATCAAATTTTTTTCAAGATTCTTTTAATTTCTTTCACAATAAAAAACAGAGAAATTAGGGACCCGAAAAATATCTCAATTTCTTTTTTTAAGATGAAAAAAGAAAAACTCGCCAAGAATCCCAAGATTTTGTTTTTCTTTTTTCAAGAGAATCTAGGGTTTTTCAAATTCTTTTAAAATTGGCCAACAAGAACCCCAATATTTTTTCAAATTCTTGAAAAAAATTTCTTTCATAAAAAATAAACAGACACTAGGATTCCGAAAATTGTTTCAAAATTTCTCAAAATGGAACAATCAAAACCCACAAAATTGCCTTCAAAATCTTGGAAAATGTTTTAAATTCTTTCAAATCTAAACAACGAAGGTCTCCAAGATGCTTTGAAATTCTTAAAAAGAAGAAGAGTCCCAAAATTTTGTCAATTCTCTCACGAAAAAAAATAGGACTCTAAAATTCTTTCCAATTCTTTCACTAGGAAAAACAAACATAGAGACCCAAAGATGTTTTTGAATTATTTCAAAATGAAAACACCAAGGAGTCCCAAGATTCTTTTAACTTCTTAAAAACCTGACCTGACCTGACCTGACCTGACCTGACCTGATCTGACCTGACCTGATCTGACCTGACCCCAAGTGCCTTCAGAAACAATACACCAGTACTTTTCAAATTTTTCCAAAATAGTAACCTCAGAAATCTACAAAGTTTTTTCAAATTCTTTAAAAAAAATGTCAATGGAATTCCAATATATTTTCAATTTTTTTCTAACAGACTACATTTTTTTTAATTCTCAAAAAAAGTCTAGGACTCTAAGATTCTTTTAAAATCTTTCACAAAAAAAACACTGATACTAAGAACCCGAAAAGTCGGGTCTTGCAAAATTTTCTTCAAAACCAAAACATCCAAAAATCTTCAAGATTCTTTCACAAAAAAGAAACTAATGATCCGACAATTCTTTCAAATTTTCTCAAACTCAAACTACCAGGAGTCCGCAGAATTTTCCTTCAAAACAAAAACATCGGCAGTCTTCTAGAGTTTTTTTTCTAAGTTCTTTTAAATCTGAACAGCGAAGGTCTTCAAGGTTTTCTCAAAAAAAGAAAAACAGACATAAGAACCCGATGAAGAGACACCGGGTCCTCAAAATTGTTTTAAACTCTTAAATAAAATACTGACCCCAAGATTTTTCCAATTTTTTTCAAAAACAGAACACCAGAGGATCACATTTTTTTTCAGATTCCTTCAGAAAGAAAACACAAAGGCTTTTCGATGTTTTTTTTCAAATTATTTCAAAAAAACTCATCAAGAATCCCAAGATTATGTGTTTTAGTTTTTCAAGGAAAACAACAAGTGTTTCTAAAATTTTTACCGATGTAGCGGCTTTTCTGAGAACTTTTTAAATTCTAAAAAAAATAATAAGTCCCCAATTTTTTTCACTTTCATTCACAAAGAAAAACGGACTTTAGGACCCGAAGATGTGTTTGAATTTTTCAAAATGAAAACACCAGGGAATCCCAAAATTTCTTCAAGTGCTTTCAGAAACAAAACACCAGGGCTTTTCAAAGTATTTCAAAATTAAAAACCTCAAATATCTTCAAAGTTTTTTCAAATTCTTTCAAAAATGTTCACAAGGAAATTCAATATTTTTTGACATTTTTTTTTTTTTCTAAAAGGCGGTCCATAGATTTTTTTGAATTTTTAAAACATCTTAGAACTCTAAATTTCTTTTAAATTCTTTCACAAAAAAAGACTGGCACTAGAGACTCAAAAAATCTTTCAAATTTTTTCAAGATGAAACCAGGAACCTGCAAAATTTCCTTCAAAACCAAAACATCGGAAATTTTTTTTAAACTCTTTCACATCTAAACACAAATTCAGAAACTAAACACCGGGGCTTTTCTAGGGTTTTTCAAATTCGTTTAAAAGAGGCCAAGAAGAATTCCAATATTTTTTCAAATTTTTGAAAAAAATGTCTTTCATAAAAAATAAACAGACAGTAGGAATCCGAAAATTGTTTCAAAATTTCTCAAAATGGAACAACCAAAACCCACAAAATTGTCTTCAAAATCTTGGAAAATGTTTTAAATTCTGTTAAATGTAAACAACGAAGGTCTCCAAGATTCTTTCACATTCTTTTAAAGAAAACTTACCAAAAAGGGCAAGATTTTGCCAATTTTTTTCTGGGGTTTTTGAAATTCTTTGAAAAACGTTGAAGAGAAACTCCGATATTTTTTCAAATTCTTTCTAAAAGATCAAGGGTCCCAGATTCTTTTAAATTCTTAAAAAAAAGTACTAGAATCACAAGATTCTTTTAATTTCTTCCATAAAAATAAACAAACACTAAGAATTCGAAGATTCTTTCAAATTTTCTCAAAACCAAACCATCGGGAATTTTGAAGAGTGTTTTAAATTCCTTCAAATTTAAACAACAAAGGGCTACTAAAATTACTAATCCTAAAACACCCAGGGTTCCTAGATTCTTTTCAATTCTTAAAAATATTTTTTTTTAACTTTTTTCAAGAACAAAACACGAGAGGATCGCAAAATTTTTTCAAGTGCCTTCAGAAACAAAACACCGGACTTTACGAAGGTTTTTCAAATCATTTCAAAACCTCAGAGATCTCCAAGGTTTTCAAATTCTTTCAAAAAAATGTCAAAAAGAACTCCAATATGTTTTCAATATTTTTTATAAAAGATCACGAGACCATACATTTTTTAACTCTTAAAAAATTATTAGGACTCTAAGATTCTTTTCAATTCTTTCACAAAAAACTTACTAAGAATGCCAAGATTTTGGAATTTTTTTGTAGGGCTTCTCAATTCTTTCTAAAAAACCAACGGTTTCCAAATTGTTTTAAATTCTTAAGAACATACTCCAAGGTTTTTTTCACAAAGGAAACGGATGGATTTAACGTTTCGACGATGCTTTCGATTTTTTTCACCAGCGTCCTCAAGATTCTTTTAAATTCTTAAAAAAAGACGCAACGCTGACCTCAAGATTTTTCAAATCATTCCAAAAACAAAACACTTCCAAAATTTCATTCAAAAACAAAGCATTTGTTAAATTATTTCAAAAAAAATCACCAAGAATCCCAACATTTAGAATTTTTTTTCAAGAAAAAGGGAAACGGCCCCCAATATCTTTTCAAATTCTTTCTAAAGCACCGGACATTCTGATATCTTTTTAAATTGTTAAAAAAATAATAGAGCCCCAAATTTTTTTAATTTTTTACAAACAAAAACAGACATTAGATTCTCGCAAATTTTGTCAAGATGAGAACACCAGGGGCCCCCAAGATTCCTTTCAATTCTTAAAAAAAATGCCATTCTCACCCGAAGGTGTTTTCAACTTATTTCAAAAATAAAACACCAGAGGATCCCAAAATAATTTTTTTTTAATTTTTCAGAATAAAAACACCATTAGTTTTTGAGTTTTCCAAAATCTTTCAAAATCGAAACATTAAAGGTGTCCAAGATTTAGCTTTAGCAGTAAAGGAGAACCCTTTAACGAGATTATACTTATTATTTTATTTATTAGACACTGTTACACGTATTTCGTAGCAGTGTCTACGAATAAAATAATCTACACTCTTAAAGTTTTTTTTAAATTCTATTTAAAATAAAACACCAAGGATCCCGAGATTGTTAAAAACGCACAGTCTATATAAAAAAAATGTAATGAAAAGTAATAAACCACTCGTATAGTTTTCCACATTTTTGACATTTGACACATAAGATCGTTCTGTTAGGCATGTAATATTTATTATTATTATTTTATATTTATAAATTTGATTGTATTTGTTAACAAAAAATAAAACAGAAACTTCGCTAGGGATTATGTGAAACACAAGGTAAAAATGTGTAACAACGCCAAAAATAGAGAATACGGAATAAATTAAAGAAAGTGTAAAAAACGGCCTAATCCCGTGAGTGCTGTGACAGATCATTTAACAGCATTTAACATCCATATCTATAATCCGATCACCGCCTCCGGGCGCCGATAAGAAGCCCGCCATCCACTCGCCAATTTGCGTATAAACCTAATTAATTCGGCGTCATTAGCAATTAAAATTGATCGATCTAATTACAAATAATGACTACACACCAACATCCGAGCACAATGTACGGATCGAGCGAACGAAAACAACTCCTGTATAAATCCAAGATTTCTCGCATGACTACATAAAGAACCACCATCAATTCCATTAATCTACGACAGCTTCTTATAAAGATTGCATTATTTATACTAATAGCCAGCTTTTCATTGCGCCGTGTGCAATTTCGGATAATGAATATTTCCCACGTGCTCATTAATCATTTTTGCCGGAAAACTCACCTCCTGTTCTGGTACCACGTTTTGACTTGTGTGTCCGTAAGGCTCAATTTCGCCGCCAGCTCCATCCTGTCCTGGACGCTGAGGTACTTCTGTCTTTCGAAACTCTTCTCCAAGGTCTGCAGTTGAAGGTCCGTGAACGCCGTCCGCGCTTTCCTCTGTTTCTTGTTTATTGCACCGTTCGAGCCCTTGGAGGAGTTTAACGAATCGTCGCCGGCCTGGCCTGAAAAAAATGCGATTTTTTCAATAATCGGCTAGGTTCTAAGAGCTAGATCGATCCCAAATCGTGCATGTGCCACCGGCCATTGTTTCAGGCGTCGCGACGCCGCCCGGAGTGGGGGCCAAGCCAAGCGGGGGATAAAAGAGACACCGGAAGCGGCGACCAATCAGGAAAAAGCGTCGGGACGTCGGATGCATCCGACGCCTCCGCTTCCAATCCCGCCACGATAATTTGCCCGAATTGCCGTTGGAGTGTTAAAAGGAGCGAAACGTCTGCCTGCGAGGGAATGTTTAGGTGAGGTCCTCGGGAACGAGGAGATCCCTGCCATAAGGTCGCCCAAACTCAACAAACTTAGCCACTTTGTGGAATTCAATGCGACTCACGTTTCCGTCGCATGAAACATTTCACCCCGAGATGTATTTCGCGTTTCTACAGATTTTTTTCTTTATGGGACGGAAAACGGGGGCGGGGAAAGGTTAACGGCTGGGGTGTGGATGGGGGTGAGATGTGACGGTCGACGTTGGGGAGATTGAAGCGTTTTTTACTTCGTGAGCGTCAACTAATATATTTTTTTTTAATCTTGTAAAATAAGATACTCCTGTAGGTACTTGTGATGTATAAATCCGGGTTGATTTTTCACCCTAGAGATACAGATTTTTGTTTATTCTATTGCATTTAATTTATTTCAGCTTATACCTACGAGTTATAATAAAAAAATAAAATTTGCAAAACCAAATCATACTTTTTTGAAAAATCTGGATTGATTTACCTTTAGTCGGTTTTTTGATTTCCCAATTTTTCGTTTTCTTATTTTCACTAATTTTCCATTTTTCGATTTGCAGTTTTTCAATTCTATAAATTATCATTATAAAAATTTTCGATTCATCAATTTTTGATTGGTTTCCTCGATTTTTCAAGCTCCTGGTTTTTATTTTTCATTTCCCGTTTTTTAATTCTTATTTTCTCAATTTTATATCACATTCACATTTTATCTATTTTCATTTCTTTTATTTTTTCAATGTTTCTTTAAATTTTATTTTTTTTGGTTTATTCAATTTTTCAAACTTTCCGTTTTGGATTTTTCATTTCCTCAATTTCTCAATTTTTAAAATTTCCAATTGCATTTCCAATTATCGGATTTTCCGATTTCTCTGTTTTACAATACTCCGTTTTTTTTATTTCTAAGTTTTTCAATATTTCGTTTCTTTTAACTTATACGGAGTATCATAAAAAATAAAATTCGCAAAATCAAATCTTATACTTTTTCGAAAAATCTGAGCTTATTTACCTTCGATCAATTTTTGATACCACAATTTTTCAATTTTACAATATTTTAATATTACACTTTTTCATTTTCTCATTTTTATTAATTTTTCAATTTTTCCATTTTTCGTGTGAATTTTTTGTCCTTTCAACTTTAATTTTTTCAATTTTTCGCTTCTTCTATTTTTCAATTTGCAATTTTTCGGATATAAAAATTTTTTCATTTCTCATTTCCCGATTTTTGAGTTCTATTTTTCTGGATTTTATATCACATTCATATTTTATATATTTCCATTTCCTTAATTTTTCAATGTTTCTTTCTATTTTATAATTTTTGGTTTATTCAAATATTCAAACTTCCCATTTTGGATTTTTCATTTCCTCGATTTCTCAGTTTTAAAATTTTCAATCGGATTTCCTGTTAGCGAATTTTCCGATTTCTCTAATTTACAATACTTCGATTTTTCAATTTTTCGTTTCATCAATTTTTCAAATTCCAATTTTTAGATTTTCCAAAATTTTCATTTTATACTATGTCGTTTTTTCATTTTTTATTTTATAATTTTGCAGTTTTTCCATTCGAAAACTTGAAAATAGGAAAAAATTGAAAAATCACAAAATGGCAAATCGAAGAACTCAAGAAGCGAAAAACTGAAACATTGAAAAACGAAAAATCGAGAATGAAACGAAAAATTGGAAAACTCAAAAATCGTAAAATTTAAAAATCATAGAGTCGTCAAAATTGTAAAGTCGGAAAACTATAACATTTAAAATCGAAAAAATGAAAAATTAAATATCGAGAAATTGAAAATTTTCTTTTATTATTTTTCGTTCATTCAATTTTTGATTTTTCAATTATGCAAATTTTTCGATTTTCGATGATCCGATTTACCGATTTCTTTAATTTTCAATTTTACACTCATATTTCGTTTTGTCGATTTTGCACATTTTCGAAGTTTCTAAATTTTTGATCTTTGGATTTTTCAATTTTTCATTTCTCCAATTTTTCAAGTTCTTGATTTCCAGTTTTTTGATTTTCCAAAGTTTCCATTTTATATTTTTTCGGTTTTTAATTTTGATTTTCCAGTTTTACAATTTTGCAGTTTTTCGAAAAGTTAAAAAACTGAAAAATTCAAAAATCGAAAAATTAAAAACTGAAAAACGAACAAAATACGAAAAAACTGAAAAATCGAAAAATTGCAAAACCAAAAAATGGAAAATCACAAAATGGCAAATCGAAGAACTGAAGAAGTGGAGACCTGAAATATTGAAAAACGAAAAATCGAGAATGAAACTAAAAATTGTAAAAAGAAAATACGATTGGAAACTCAAAAATCGTTAAATTGAAAAATTATAGAGTCGTCAAAATTGTAAAGTCAAAAAACTGTAACATTGAAAAATCGAAAAATGAAAAATTAAATTTCGAGAAATTGAAAATTTCCTTTCATAAGTTTTCGTTTATACAATTTTTGATTTTTCAATTATGCAAATTTTTCGATTTTCAATGATCCGATTTTCCGATTTCTTTAATTTTCAATTTTACACTCTATATTTCGTTTTTTCGATTTTGCACATTTTCGAAGTTTCTAAATTTTTGGTTTTTGAATTTTTCAATTTTTCGTTTCTCCAATTTTTCAAGTTCTCGATTTCCAGTTTTTTGATTTTCCAAAGTTTTCATTTTATATTTTTTCGTTTTGTCTTTTTGATTTTTCAATTTTACAAAACAGCAGTTTTTCCATTTTTTTGATTCGAAAAGTTGAAAAATTGAAAAATGAAAAACCAAAAAATGGAAAATCGCAATTTAGCAAATCATCGAAGAACTGAAAAAACGAAAAAATGAAGCATTGAAAAACGAAAAATCGAAAAATTGAAAAGAAAAAATTACGAATCGAATCGAAAAACTGGAAAACCCAAAAATTGAAAAATCGAAAAATTATAGCATCGTCAAAATAGTAAAGTCAAAAATCAAAAAATTGAAAAATTAAATATCGAGAAATTAAAAATTTTCTTTTCTAATTTTTCGTTCATTCAATTTTTCAAAATTTTCACTCTTTGATTTTTCATTTCTTGGATTTTCGAATTTTTTAATTTTTCCGATTTTCCGATTTCTTTAATCTTTAATTTCACAATCTATATTTCGTTTTTTCGATTTTGCACATTTTCGATTTTTAAGTTTCTAAATTTGTAATCTTTCGATTTTTCAATTTTTCAAGTCCTTCATTTCCAGTTTTTTGATTTCCAAAGTTTTCATTTTATACTTTTTTGTTTTTTCATTTTCGGTTTTTCAATTTTACAATTGTGCCATTTTTTATTCGAAAAGTTGAAAAATTGAAAAATCGAGAAATTAAAAACCGAAAAACAAATAAAATAGGAAAAAACTAAAAAATCGAAAAATTGCAAAACCAAAAAATGGAAAATCACAAATGCCAAATCAAAGACCTGAAGAAACCAAAAATTGAAACATTAACAACGAAAAATCGAAAAAAATTGGAAAACCCAAAAATTTGGAAAATGGAAAAATTATGGAATCGTTAAAATTTTGAAATCAAGAAACTGTAACACTGAAAAAACGAAAAATTGAAAAATTAAATATCGAGAAATTGAAAATTCTCTTTTATAATTTTTTGTTTGTTTTCTATTTAATTCTTCGATTTTCCAATTTTAAAATGTTTCAATTTTGCAATCTATAGTTCGTTTTTTCGATTTTGCACATTTTCGATTTTTAAGTTTCTAAATTTTTAATCTTTCGATGTTTCATTTTTTCAAATCCTCGATTTCCAGTTTTTTGATTTTATATTTCCTCATTTTTAATTTTTCAGTTTAACAATTTTGCAATTTTCCCATCGAAAATTAAAAAATTGAAAAATCGAAAAATTAAGAATAGAAAAACAAAAGAACTGGACATAAATGAAAAACTGAAAAATCGAAAAAGTGGAAATTCGGAAAATGCAAACCGAAGAACTGAAGAAACGAAAAATCGAAACATTGAAATACTAAAAATCGAAAAAAAATAATGATTCGACAGATTAAAAAGACTTAAAAAAATTGGAAATCTCAAAAACTATAACAATGAAAAACCGAAAAATTAAAAAAAAATTAAATGTCGAAAAATAGAACAATTAAAAATCGAAAAATTCTAACATCGTGAAATTGAAAAAGTAATTTTTTTTAAACTAAAGTTTTTATTATACATATATTTAAAATTAAAATTAGAAAAACTGAAAATCAAAAATCGAAGCAACGACAAATTTAAAAATAGAGGAACTGAAATATCCTAAACTGAAAAAATAAAAAATTAAAAAATCTAAAAGTTGAAAAACTGAAAAATATGACATTGAAAAAGACAAATTATACCTAATAAGAACATTGAAAAATCGGAAAATTGAAAAAATTAGGAAAATAAAAAACCGAAACGAGAAATTGCAAAATCTAAAAACTAAAAGCTGGAAAATTGAGAACCTGAAATATTGTATCGAAAAATTGTTAAAATAAAAAAGGGAAGCGAAAAATTTAAAGAAATGCAAAATTGAAGAACTGAAAAATTGAAAAGTCGTATAATTAAAACAGTTTTAAAATCGAATAACTGAAAAATAGACACAAATATTTAAAATTATTATCATTATTACGCATTTACAATAAAAACTAGAAAAATTGCAAATCAAAAATTGAAGAAATGAAAAATGAAAAAATTAAAAATTGAAAAAATTGAAACTGAGAAAACAACAAATTATAAAATTGGA